TGTCTCCCTCTGGCACCGGGGAGCCCAGAGCAGGACACAGCAGAGGCCAACCATCACCTCCCTCCACCTGCTGCCCACACTGTGCCTACTGCACCCAGGATGCACTCAGCCTTCTGGGCCCCGGGGGCACTTCTCCAGCTCCAAATTGTTCAGCTTGGGGTAGCTGGAGAGAGTGATAAGCTCTCCCCTCAGCCTTCTTTTCTCCAGGCTGTACAACCCCAGTTCCCTCAGATGGTCTTCATAAGACTTGTGCTCTTGACCCTTCAGCACTTTGTTGCTCTCCTAAGGGAAGGTCTGCTGCTCTTCTAAAGGCAGGCCTCTGGGGTGCTGGCCCTCAGGCAGGCCCCATGCCCGTGGTGGCCATGCACTGGGCACAGCTGACACCACCTGAGATTGTTGCTGGGGTGAAATTACTCATTAGATGCAAAAGCACTTTTTTTTCCCTTTAAAATTACTAAATGAAAGGATGAAAATCAATCCTCTTGCAAACTCTCGGTAATGAATCTGCAGAACTGGAGCAATGAGTGCAGAAAGCTGCCAGACTGTGTCTCTTCAGTGAAAGAACCTCCAGACTGGGATGCCAGCTGCGTGTGAAGAGACAGGCCCTCGCACGTGTCCAGATGTGGCTCTGGTGGATCAGCAGGCAGAGGGAGGCGAGGGACGAATCCCCTTGCCAGGACTGCCCCCTGGCCAGAGGCTGTTTGGACAATGACAGTCTGTCAGGAGGAAGGACTTAAACCACATGGAATTTATCAGGTAATACCTGTGTTTGGAGTCACGCTTGAAAATGAACCGGTAGCCAGTGCATTCTAAGAGCACGCTTTCCTCTGTGCAAAGAGCCCTGCAAGGCCAAGGGATGCTGAAACAGCATAGCCTAAAATCGTTAGCTCTGCCTGTACTAATTTGCAATGCCATATAGTGGTGTGTGTAGTAACATTCCAGATTGGAAGTATCCAATTTCTTAATAGTTGCACTGACTGCCACATCAGGGAAGACAAGTCCCATCTTTTAGCCAATGTAGATGGATAATTTTGGAAGAGCAGGTGTAACTCGGCTGTCTTCTTGCTCTAACAAGCCTTTTCCTTCTCTTTTCCCTTTTGTTTTTCCCTTTTCTTTTCCATTTTCCCTTTGCTTTTCTTACCACGGACAGATACTGGGTTTATAGCTCATCCCAAGTGCCTTGCAGTCACACCATAGAGAAGACATCGGAAACCTCTTCCTCTCCCCCGATCCCTCCTCACACCTCCCCACACTGGTCACACAGCTTTGTCTTTCACAGCATCTGGATCGCCACGCACTGTGTGAATGCTGATTTCACCTTTACTAATTACATACTAAGAATAGCATTTTTCTCCCCTTTTACCTGGATTGAGAAAGGTGTTTCCATCCTCTTTGAGCAAGGAAAGACTTTGGAAAAGAGTTACAAAAGAAAGTTGCAACAATATGGGAATGGTAACGGATGATATCACGGCCAAAGCCAAGAGGTTCCGCAAATTGTAAAAACAAATATGGCATCAGCCTTCAGATTGCATGGAAGGAATCAAGAGTTGTGACAGCAGGTCCTTCTCATGCTCCCAGCCCCTACCCTCTTTTAGTTTCAAACCGTTACCCCTTGTCCTATGGCAACAGGCCCTGCTAAAAAGTTTGTCCCCATCTTTCTTATAAGCCCCCTTTCAGTGTTGAAGGCTCGCCCCAGAGCCTTCTTCTCTCCGGGCTGAACAGCCCCAACTAGCCCCACCTCTCTCAGCCTTTCCTCACAGGAGAGGTGTTCCGCCCCTTCAGCTGTTTTTGTGGCCCTCCTCTGGATCCACTCCAACAGAACGCGTTTTTATCTTGGTATCCAAAAAAACCCCAAACATTCCCAGCCCTAGTTGATAAATATTTCTTCTCTTCTGTTTTTAAATGCCGGTTTTGTTTCAGCCCTTGAGAAAAAAGGACTATCACCAATGTCCTGTATCACTTAGGAAGAAAAACTCAGAGAATATGGCAGCAGAATTTGGAAACTGTCCCTGTTTCCTGAAGAGCGAGCATTTGAAGAATGAAGACCGTTACCAGTCACACACAAAAGAGGAGGAGGAGGAGGAGGAGGAGGAGGAAGAGGAGGTGGGTGGCATTTTCCAAAGTATTGCACTTTTTGATGCTCATCCTCCGCTTTGCCCTCCAAGAATTGCTCCGCTCTGCTTCTTGGCCCGCCATGAGAGAGAGCCCGAGAGGTCACGAGTGGTGCCTTGGAGGCGCAGGAGCAGCCGGCATGAACCGAGCCGAAAGGGCCCAGAGGAGCCCTGACACGGGGCTGTGCTCAGTGCTAGAGAGGACAAGAAGCAAACCTGGGGACCACCCTGGGGGCCCCCCGTTGGGGCGTAGAAAGCTTCCTCCCCCTGGATGCGGGGCACGAGGGCCACCTTCGTGGGGCAGGAGTGGCAGGCCCCTAAGCCAAAACGGCCCAGAGGAGCCCTGGCAAGGGGCCGTGCTCAATGCTGCAGAGGAAGGCAAAAAACCCCAGGGACCAGTGCCAGTCTGCCCTGGGGGAAAATGATCAGTTCCTGCAAGCAGTAACTTTGGGAAGCTAGAAATTCAATAGGTCCATCACTGCTCCAAAACCTCCTCTCAGGTGATAGCAACAGCCAAGAGAGGCTTTTCCCTGAAGAGAAATGGCTGCTGGGTCTGTGCCTTGATATATGGCAGTGACACCAGTCTGAGCCCAGGGTCTGCCTATTGAACTTGTCACCTGAGAAAGTATTTTTTAATTTATGCACCTGTTTCTTTTTTACACCAGACGCTGCGAGAAATCTTCCAGATGCAGACGACCATAGAAGCCATCCAAAAAGCTATGAGGGACCAAGGGCCTCTTTGGCTCAGAACCGGCTGGACGAGTGCACATGGAGCTGTGTCGGGACACTGCCCAGCTCCGGTAAGGCAGGAGTACAGGGCTGGTGGGGTCCTTGAGGAGTCACGGGTGGTAGCACTCAGGAGCATCACTGGGTGACAAAATTAATCTTTTTTTTTTGTTTTTCCTAAGGGAAAAAAGGGGGAAATCTTTGCCCAAGAAGCCCCTCAGCAATGCCATGCTAGAAA